GGATCATGAGGTCAAGAGATCGAGACCATCCTGGTCAACATGGTGAAACCCCGTCTCTACTAAAAATACAAAAAAAAATTAGCTGGGCGTGGTGGCGCGTGCCTGTAATCCCAGCTACTCGGGAGGCTGAGGCAGGAGAATTGCCTGAACCCAGGAGGCGGAGGTTGCGGTGAGCCGAGATCGCGCCATTGCACTCCAGCCTGGGTAACAAGAGCAAAACTCCGTCTCAAAAAAAAAAATAATTTGTATACCAGTACTATAAGCCATCCCTTCCTGCCGCTTTTCCTATTCCCATAGTCTTGTTATCCTCTAGTTCACCCCAGATGAGAATCTCAAAACTATCCTTGATGTCTTCTTCCTTTCCCTTCACACCAGTGTCACCAAATACTGCCCGCCTGCCTTGGCATGTTCTCTGCATCCTGCCCTTCCTTTCTCTTTCCATCCTGTCATAGCCTCATGCCCTCCTTGCCATAGAGGGCCTCACACCTAGACTGTTGTGACAGTCCCTGCTGCCTGTGTCTTTCAGTCTCATTCTTTTTTTTTTTTTTTTTTTTGAGATGGAGTTTCGCTCTTGTTACCCAGCCTGGAGTGCAATGGCGCGGTTTCGGCTCACCGCAACCTCCGCCTCCTGGGTTCAGGCAATTCTCCTGCCTCAGCCTCCTGAGTAGCTGGGATTACAGGCATGCACCACCATGCCCAGCTCATTTTTTGTATTTTTAGTAGAGACGGGGTTTCACCATGTTGACCAGGAAGGTCTCGATCTCTTGACCTCGTGATCCATGCGCCTCGGCCTCCCAAAGTGCTGGGATTACAGGCTTGAGCCACCACGCCCAGCCCAAGTCCCATTCTTTTTAAGATTCAGATATCTCTTCCTAAAGATCGCTGAATTTATGTCATTCCCCTGCCCCAATAAATTCAAATTTTCCCTTATATATCTTTTTTATTTTTATTTTTGAGACAAGAGTTTCACTCTTGTTGCCCAGGCTGGAGTACAGTGGCGTGTTCTCAGCTCACTGCAACCTCTGCCTCCTAGGTTCAAGCGATTCTCCTGCCTCAGCCTCCTGAGTAGCTGGGATGACAGGCACGAGCCACCATGCCCGGCTAATTATGTATTTTTAGTAGAGACGGGGTTTTTCCACATTGGTCAGACTGGTGTGGAACGCCCGACCTCAGGTGATCCGGCTGCCTCGGCCTCCCAAAGTGCTGAGAATACAGGCGTCAGCCACTGCGCCCAGCCTTATATCCGAACACCAAAGTCCAAACCTAATAGTCTCACACTTAAGCTTTTTGGCAATTTGGCTCTATTTTATTTACCCGCACTTATCTGGTCTCAGCATAAACCTGTAATATTAACAGGACTGGCTCTCTCTTGTCTCCTAAGCAACCATGCCGAAGCCCCGACATCCATAACTCGTCCTCTCATTCACTGTGGCCTCTCCCAGTTTGAGGGGGTAGGGTGAGAAGGAGCAGACATGGACATACGAGTAAGGTGCAATTACAGTGCAATGGGATGGTACGGTGCCATCTGCCCCCTGGGAATAGCCTCTGACTCCTGTCCATCCTTCAAGACCACGCTCAGTGCACATGTCCCTGGTGAAGCTTTCCTGGATGAGTTTATCACCTTCTGAACACCTGTGGCACTCACTCTTTGCACTCCTATAAATAAGTGCTTCTCAAATTTGAGGCACAAACTACGGGGCCCCACTGTCAGAGATACTGACTCTAGAGGTCCAGGATGGGGCCAGGGAATTTACATTTTTAGCAGGCTCCAGTGAGGGTTTGCAGACCTCACTTTGCGTATCTCTGCACGGATGACCTTGTACTTCTTTCACTTCCACTCTAACTCTATGTGGGCAGAAAACGTGTTTTCGTGGCTCTTTGTGGATCAGCTCCCAAACACCAGCAATTAATTGCCTAGCACAGAGAACGTGCTCCCCAAATTTTACTTTTACTTGCTCAGTATACAATGCCATCCAAGTTTTCATTTGGCACTTATGACAGCCGTGGCAGGTAGGGAGAAAGGGCATCCTTCTTACAGACAGATGGGGACAGAGTCCAAGCCACCAGAGGGCAGAGATTGGCTGATGCAGGCTTAGTTAGAAACTGGAGTGCAAGCCACCCAGTTGCTTTAGTTGTGGGCTCCTTGGCACTAGCTTCTAGGCTGGTGCGGAACTTTAAAGCCCACTTTCCTCTTCTAGAAAGGTGCAAGGAAGGAACTGACATTTATTGAACAATTATTCTCTGCTAAGACTAGACTGCAGGATGCATGCATTCTTTCAGGAGATTGGGGAAGTACAGTAATGGATACCTCAGTTTTAAACATGTAAAACGTGGAGGCTGAGGACATCCAAGTGTTTGTGTCTCATTGCATAGCATGGAAGAGGCAGAACAGGCCAGACAAGGAGAAAGTGACTTCATATTTGTTGGAGGTCAGTTTTGTATGCAGGTGTGTTGTTCTGGGTGAAAGCAGAACAACTGAGAGAGAACAATTAAGCCTCACAATTTAGTCCTCACAATTACCTTGCAAAGGAGATCTCATTTCACTCATTTTAAAGGCGTGGCAGTAGCTTCAGAGAGGTTATGCAATTTGCCCAAGGCTACACAGCTGAGAAGAGGAAAAGCTGTGGTGGGTAGAGCTGCGATTCCTGGACTGTCTGATCTCAAAGTTCACGCAGGTTCTGCAGCCCCGTCCTGCGTCATGCCATGGGGTCTGTGCACAGTTTGCACAGCACATCAGTAGCAGAAACAGAAGTGGGTCCCAGGTCTCCACACATCCCCTGCTCCCTGACAGTACCTTCTAGCATTCTGTTTACTCAGGGCCTAGATTTGGGCTCTGTCCTGCCTCTCTGCTTCCCATTGGAGGCTACTTCTGGGGGAAGTTACGGTGCACAGGAAAGGGGAGAAAGCAGGGGAGACCAGGCCTTCGGCTAGCTGAGAGTAGGGATGGGGAGCATGCACCTAGGAAGGATGGCTTCTGCAAGGTAATTGGGAGGTGGGGGTTTGTGTTTCTCCCAGATCCAGTTGTCTGAGAAGTTCAGGGAAGTGTGGCTGTCCCCTGCACCCACCCCAAACACACTCCCACCTTCACAGACCCTCCCAAGGACAGGCTTCCCAGACACAGATCCGGGGGTGGCTCACAGAGATGGGCAGGATCAGATTCAAGGTGACACGCACCAGCAGACACAGAACCATAGGGCCGCCGGGGCCTGGATTCCCCAACAGAGGCGGCAGATGCACATAGAGGTTAGCCACAGCAGCCCACGTGGAGGGCTGCTCACCCACAGAGGTGCAGAGGGCACCACCTTCACCAGCCACCTTGAAGGTACCTTGGAGATTGTCAGGAAGGATGGGGAGGGCAGGCAGTGCTTTCTGTCACTGCCATGCCTCCCCTCTCCCCTGCCATGGAAGGAGTCCCACCATGGAAGGAGTCCCACTCTTCGAAGGGAGCTCTGGCTCCTTTCCTACCATTCGCGCTTTCCCCAGGCTCAGTTCAGTTCCCCTCTAGCCTGGGGAGGTGTGGGCTGGGGGAGGGGCTGCAGTATAGATCGCCATAGGGGGAAGGGGAGGAGGGGACAGCGGGAGCCTGTTCAGGTCTTCCGGGCTGAGTGCAGTCACGGGGGCCTCAGCAACCTCACTTTGGGGGTCCCTGTGTCAGCCCAGACGGTGGGAGCAAGGGGCTGATCCAACTGCTGCCAGGATTCCTTGGTCCCAGAGGTGCTGGGAACAATGGTGGGAACATCAGAGGAGGGGACGAGGTTGGGTGGCCAACCTCCAGAGTGGTGGGATTTGGGACACTCAGTCCGGGCCGCCACTGTCAGAGGGGGCTGACACCTGTTATAGTGCCCCTGTGGCGGACCCTTCACCCAGGTCAGCCTCCCAGCTGATGTGTCTCTCTTGCCCCAAATCCTTCCTGAGGGCATATGTGTCAGATGAGGAGCAAGGGGAACTAGGCAGCCAGTGAGGGGAGAAGGGGAGGGAAACGGGAGCTTGGGAACACTTCTGCCAACAACCACGTGACCCCCGGGAAATGGTTGGGGAGGGGTCCTTCCTGCTGTCCCTACCAGCCCTTTTGAGCAGGGGCCAGCCTGCGGCATCCCCATCCTGCATGAGCAGGGGGAGGGCTAGGGCTGGCCTGACCACCTTACCGTCTGCGGGGGGCTGCCCACGGTCATCTCCACGTAGTAGCCCTGCCCCGACTTGCCCCTCAGGTTGTCCACCATCTCCACAAAGCTGCCCCTCCGGCCGGGCTCCTCGGGCTCCTCGTCGGTCTCCCGGGGCAGCCGCAGCCCCAGGGGGGCGCCCCCCAGGCCACTGCGCAGGGGCAGCCGGATGCCGTGCTGGGTGCCGTGGGCAGGCAGCATTCCCGCGCCCATCCACAGCAGGAGCCAGGGCAGGGCTTGGGCCATGGTGGGCCCCGGCCTTCGGGCCCTCTGGGCTCGCACTGGTCCACGTTCGTCCCTGGCGCCTGCCCCCAAGTCTGGGTGGTGCTGCTGGTGGTGGTGGCTTCTCAGGAGAGGGAGCTTGGGGGCATCAGGACGCCAGAGCCTGCAGGGCCCTGGGCCAGCCCCCGGGGCCGGGAGGTGGAGAGCGGGCAGGGGAGATCCGCAGAGCACGGGAGAAGGGGAGAGGCTGGGATCCGGAGCCCACTACGTCGGCACGGCGGCCGCCAGCCTCGGCAGCGGGCACGGGCTCCCGGCGGGGCTGGGAGGGGCGGGCATGGCGGGCCGGCGGCGGCTTCCCGGGTCCCCCCGGCGGGCGGCGGCGCGGGCAGGGGCAGGGACTCCGGGCTCCTGCGGCTGCGTTGGCTGCTCAGGCCACCATAATCCAGCTCACGGCTCGCAGCTCCCGGGCGGGCTGGGGAGGCGGAAAGACTTGTGGCGGCGGCTGTCAAAGCCAAAGGGTTTTCGCTTTTCCCTGGGATCGCTGGGAAGTGTAGTCTTCCCATGGCAGGCAGTCCGGCTTCCGGGGCTCTAGAGGGGTCTGGGATGCCCTCTGCCGAGGTGGAGTCCGCCCTGCAGGGCCCTGGCGGGAAGGGCCAGATGGATGGAGGGGAGCACACCTCTCTTCTGTCAGTCTTTCTTTCAGCATGGAAGGAGCACCCACTTTATGCCAGGCACACTTGCAGGTACTGGGGCTGCAGAGAGAAACGCACATGCACCAAAGGTGGTTGTACAAGGGACAGTTAAGTGATTCCTGCCACGGTGGGTTTTCATATTAAACGACGTGGCATTAAGGAGTAGGGATTTGGGGGGAGATCTAGGGGATCTGGGAAGACTCAGTGGGAGAAGGTGGTATTTAATTTGAGTGTTTAAAAATGGGTAGGATTTTCAAGAGCAGAGACTGAGGGAGCAAGATTAAAAGGGATGGAAGAGTTTTTCCAGGCTGCAAACCACCGGAGCAGGGTCCAAAAGGGGAAAGTGCAGTTGTCTTATTTTCTCGTGAGCCTCCGATCTGCTCGCAGGTAAGAAACAGCCTCAAAGGGTTGAGGCTCTACTTGCCTTGAATTCTTATGACCCGTCTGATTTTCTGCATCATCAGCCAGACTGAGGAGAAACAGCTGTTGACAGCTTTAAAGTGTTAACACTCCAAGAAGTATCTGTATATTAACTGGTAAGAGCTTAAAGCCTTCAAAAGCGTTAGAGTTCTAATAGCTTAAAGGGGAAAAGCCGGTATGGTTTTAGCAATATAGTGTTTATCAAATGTGGAAAGCCATTGATAAAATTCAGTAGTTACTCTGATTTATTATTATTTTTTGAGACGGAGTTTCATTCTTGTCACCCAGGCTGGAGTGCAATAGGGTGATCTTGGCTCGCCACAACCTCTGCCTCCTGGGTTCAAGTGATTCTCCTGCCTCAGGTTCCTGAGTAGCTGGGATTACAGGCATGTGCCACCACACCCAGCTGATTTTGTATTTTTAATAGAGGCAGAGTTTCTCCATGTTGGTCAGGCTGGTCTCGAACTCCTGAACTCAGGTGATTGGCCCGCCTCATCCTCCCAAAGTGCTGGAATTACAAGTGTGAGCCACTGCACCGGGCAGACAATCTGATTAAAAAATGAAGGGAAGGCCAGGTTTGGTGGCTCATGCCTGTAATCCCAGCACTTTGGGAGGCCAAGGTGGGCGGATCACGAGGTCAGGAGATGGAGACCATCCTGACTAACATGGTGAAACCCCATCTCTACTAAAATACAAAAAAATTAGCTGGGCAAGGTGGCAGGCACCTGTAGTCCCAGCTACTGAGGAGGCCCAGGCAGGGGTAGTCCCAGCTACTCAGGAGGCTGAGGCAGAGGAATTGCTTGAATCCGGGAGGGAGAGGTTGCAATGAGCCAAGATCGTGCCACTGCACTCCAGCCTGGTGACAGAGCAAGACCCTGTCTCAAAAAAAAAAAAAGGGAAAATTTCTTTTCTCTTTTGAAAGGGAGTCTTGCTTTGTCAACCAGGCTGGAGTGCAGTGGCATGGTCTCGAATCTGCAACCTCTGCCTCCCGGGTTCAAGCAATTCTCATGCCTCAGGCTCTGAGTAGCTGGGACTACCGGTGCATGCTACCACACCTGACTAATTTTTCTATTTTTAGTAGAGATGGGGTTTCACCATGTTGGCCAGGCTGGCTTGAACTCCTGGCCTCAAGGGATCTGCCCACTTGGCCTTCCAAAGTGCTGGGATTATAGGCATGAGCCATTGCACCCAGCTAGGAAACTTTTTAAACAAGGTAACAACAAACAAAAAAATTATACAAAATGTAGTAGTAATGTGCTAAGTTACTCCCATTAAAGGCAGGCTTTGGAAAGGAAAGATCATTATCTCTACTCTTATCCCACGCAGTTCAGAACAGTCTGACTGACTCAAAAGACAAGAAAATGGAAAAAGTGTTAGACGTGTTGGAAAGCAAAGGAATCAGTAGTTGCAGATTGTATGACATGGATAGAAATCCTAACCAATGAAGTAATTAGACACAAGTTAAAAATATAAAAATCAAAATAGAGAAATGTATGAGAATTGTATATATGATAGAGATGGCATTCGTATCAGAGGAAAATGGATGCATTATTCAGAAACTGTTGTTGGGACGTCTGGCAACCCATTTGGAAGGAAAGAAAACCAAATGTCTGTTTCATTCATCTGAAAATAAACTCCAGATAGATTAAAGAATTTAACATTAAAATAAAACTACAGGAAAAATAGAATATTTTTATCATCTTATATTGAAGACTATCTCCCTAATGAAACCCAGAAGGTAAAGAAACCCAAAAACTGGATGGGTTTGATAACTTAAATATTTAAAACTTCTGTAGAATCAGAAGTATTCCAATACTGCCAGTGTTCTAATTCTGGTTCAGCTAGTAAGCGGGAGACCCCACCCTGGTTACTTAACCTTTTTGAGTCTTTTTTTTCTTTTTTTTTTTTTTGAGACAGAGTCTCATTTTATTGCCCAGGCTTGAGTGAGTGCAGTGGCTTAATCTCAGCTCACTGCAACTTCCTCCTCCTGGGTTCAAGCGATTCTTGTGCTTCAACCTCCTGAGTAGTTGGGATTACAAGAGCCCACCACCATGCCTGGCTAATATTTTTTTTAGACAAAGTCTCCCTCTGTCACCCAGGCTGGAGTGCAGTGGTGTGATCTCGGCTCACTGAAACCTCCACCTCCTGGTCTCAAGCGATTCTCCTACCTCAGCCTCCCCAGTAGCTGGGACTACAGATATGTGCCACCACACCTGGCTATTTTTTTTGTTTGTTTGTTTGTTTGTTTTTTGTTTTTTGTTTTTCTTTTTTTGAGACGGAGTTTCGCTCTTTCCAGGCTGGAGTGCAATGGCGCGGTCTCGGCTCACCGCAACCTCCGCCTCCTGGGTTCAGGCAATTCTCCTGCCTCAGCCTCCTGAATAGCTGGGATTACAGGCACGCGCCACCACGCCCAGCTAGTTTTTTGTGTTTTTAGTAGAGACGGGGTTTCACCATGTTGACCAGGATGGTCTCGATCTCTCGACCTTGTGATCCACCCGCCTCGGCCTCCCAAATTGCTGGGATTACAGGCTTGAGCCATCGTGCCCGGCCTTTTTTTTTCTTTTGAGACGGAGTTTCGCTCTTGTTACCCAGGCTGGAGTGCAATGGCGCGATCTCGGCTCACTGCAACCTCCGCCTCCTGGGTTCAGGCAATTCTCCTGCCTCAGCCTCCTGAGTAGCTGGGATTACAGGCATGCGCCACAATGCCCAGCTAATTTTTTGTATTTTTTTTTTTTTTTTTTTTTTTGGTAGAGACGGGGTTTCACCATGTTAACCAGGATGGTCTCGATCTCTTGACCTCTTGATCCACCCGCCTCAGCCTCCCAAAGTGCTGGGATTACAGGTGTGAGCCACCGCACCCGGCCCATTTTTTAAAATTTTTATTAGAGATGGGGTTTCTCCATGTTGGCCAGGCTGCTCTCGAACTCCTGACCTCAAATGATCCGCCTGCCTTGGCCTCTCAAAGTGCTGGGATTACAGGCATAAGCCACTTTGCCTGGCCCCTAATGGAGATAATGATATTAATAGTTCAAACCTTATAAGGTAAGAATTTGATGAGGCAATCCTCGTGAAGCTTTTAGAATGGTGTCCAGCATGTTGTAAGTGCTCAGTAAAGGTCAGCTATTAGTATTATTACTGTTGCAATTGCTGAGAAAGGTGACATTTGCAGAGTTAAAAGATTAGCCACAGATTAAGAAACAATATTTGCCACACAACAGAGAGACAAAGGGCTACTGTTATAATGTTCAAAGAGCTTCTACAAATCAATATAAATTCCAAACAATCTGATAGAAAAATGAACAAAGGGTAAGGGGAAAGAGTGAGGAAAAACAAAAACAACAACAAAAACCAAACAAAAAAGAAGAGAAAAAGAAAACTGAACAAAGAATGTGAACAGGGAATTCACAGAAGAAATTCAAATGGATGATAAACATGAAAAAAAGCATATGAAGAAAGCTTAACTTCATTAACAGTTGAAGGAACCAAAGTAAAACAGTAGATTCTTTGTTCCTTTCTCTTTCTTTTGTTCTCTCTTAGATTTGTAACATTTGGTATTGATGAAGGTATGTTTGGACTGCAAATTATTCCATTTTTCCAGAGTAATTTGCAATGCCTATTAATATGTAAAAAATGCAAACTCTTTGGGCAATGTCACTTTTAGGACCCTATCCAACAAAAACAACAATGCTTCAGCAGTGTGTACTATAGCAAAACCTCGGGTTCAAAACAAAGCTGGGTGTAGTGGGCTCATGCATGCAATCCAAGCTACTTGGGAAGCTGAGGTGTGACGATCGCTTGTGGCTAGGAGTTCAAGACCAGCCTGGAGACAGAGCAAGATCCCATCTCTTTAAACAAAACCAAAAAAAAAAAAATCATCAGGCCGGGTGTGGTGGCTCACTCCTGTAATCCCAGCACTTTGAGAGGCTGAGGTGGGTGGATCATTGAGGCCAGGAGTTCAAGACCAGTCTGACCAACATGGTGAAACCCTGTTTCTGCTGAAAATAGAAAAAAAAAAAAAAAAGGCCAAGAGCAGTGGCTCATGCTTGTAATCCCAGCACTTTGGGAGGCCGTGGAGGCAGAACATGTGAGGTCAGAAGTTTGAGACCAGCCTGGCCAACATGGTGAAACCCTGTCTCTACTAAAAATACAAAAAAATTAGCCAGGCACGGTGGCAGGCACCCATAATCCCAGCTATTCAGGAGGCTGAGGCAGGAGAATCTCTTAAATCCAGGAGGCACAGGTTGCAGTGAGCCGAGATTGTGTCACTGCACTCCAGCTTGGGCAACAAAGTGAGACTCTGTCTCAAAAAAAAAAAAAAACCAAAAAAGAAACAACAACAACAACAACAAAAATTAGCTTGGTGTGGTGGCACATGCCTGTAATCTCAGCTACTTGGGAGGCTGAGGCAGGAGAATCACTTGAACCTGGGAGATGGAGGTTGCAGTGAGCCAAGATCATACCACTGCCCTCCAGCCTGGGCAATAGAGTAAGACTCTGTTTCCAAAAAAAAAAAAAAAAAAAATTCAATAGGGAAGAAGACATCTGTTCAATGAAATCCTAATTAACTATTAAAAACAGTGGCACAGCTTTTTATGAACTGGCCTTGGAAGATGTTTATGACATGTTAAAGA